TTAAGCTTCAGCACAGATTTTTTTTTATTATTATTGTTATTTTTACCTAGTAAGGTGGAGAAGTAAGAAGAGACTTGTTCACTTTTGAAAAAGACTTATGGACACTTGGTCAAGCACCACAAAGAATAAAAGGCTGCAATGTGTTTCAATGTTTTTGCCTACTAGAAGAGTCAGACCTAAAGTCACGCCAGCTGGAACTAATTGAAATTTCTTCAGATTGAATTGAATCATTTAGGATTTAAATCTGTTTCCATGGTACAGATTTTGTCAACAGGTCTGTTTTTAAATTCACATCAATTCACTTTGCGCTGCATCCAGGCTCAGATGATTGTGGCACAGAGGTAGGAGAGAAGCCAAACAAGCCACTGCTGCTGTGCACATAAGATACAAGCGAACATACATCAGTTAGTGCAGCAGGTTCTGGTCCACTAAGGGGAAAACAAACCGACCTTAGCTTGATCCCCAGAACCAAACATGGAAAATCAGCATTCAGCTTCTATGCACCACACATCTGGAACAAATTTCCAGAAAACTGCAAAACAGCCAAAACACTGAATGCCTTTAACTAAAGACTAAAAACCCACTTGTTTACAGTAACCTTATAATTGTAGTAAATGGAACATTGATTTTGATGGTATTTCACAAAATGTCATGTTTCTTGTTTTTTTTGCACTTGGTGACTATATTTTGAAGCCTAAGCATAAATTCAAACTGGCAGACTCTTCATCTCACCTGCCCAGAGAATCACCTCATCATGCTCTGCCTTTACATGATGATGGCATTGGTCTTCTCCTCATCTCTTCCAATCATCAGACTTCGCTTCCTTCATCAAGTCTGGCGTCCTCTCTGCACCTGCTCCTTGGTCGAACTTCAACCCACCTCCATCCCTACTCCACCTTCAACTCTCGAATTCTTCAGTACCTTTGACATCCTCTCCATCACCAGTGTCTGGGAAGATGTCTCTAATCCTAATCTACAGTGACTCATCCTCTCTGGCAGCAGTTACCAGCGCCACTTCTTCTGCCAGGGGTCTGAGAGCCAAAGATTATTTGTCAAATAAACTTTCTAATGCCTACAGTCTCTCTGTGTGAATCTTTCCAGGTTGAAATGTTTTTATGATGTGAAGCACTTTTAACTACTTTGTTGCTGAAATGTGCTATGTAAATAAACTTGACTTGACCTGCCTCTATAAATATGTCCTTTGAAATTCTGTTGAGAAAAGAAATCCTTTGAGTCACCCTGGGTTAATGCCTACATGTGCACTGTGTGTTGTAAATGTGCTCTCCCCGATCAGACTGGAGGATTACAACTGCGGTTTATTTTAGATCCCTGAGCCTGACAGTAATAAGACGTTTTTCTCCTTTACCTCCTCTAAGGCCATGCTCGTCCCATGAAGCATGCAGCGCCACGCCCTCTGTGCCACTCAGATATAAAATGCCAGGATGTTTTTATTCTCAGGTAGATGAGAACTACCTGATCCCAACACTGATGCACTAGCTGCCAGCTGAGCCCTCCGTGGCTGAGGATGTTTCAAGGTGTCCTGCTTTCCTCAGTGAGCTGGATTCCTCCTTGGTGCCCTCTTTCTTTCTCAGACAGCAGTTTTACAGCAAATCTGAGCTTCTGTCCTACTTGCTTCTGTGTGTTGCCAAAATGCCTTTCATTCCCCAAGTTTCAATCACGTGCTCTGTGTCAGGGCTGACTGGAGATGCATTGTCTAGAAGCAGTGGAGTCACGTCAAAAGTTGCAAGAGAAGACAAAAGGAGTTCAGTCAAGGAGAGACTGGCTTTAAATTTGAAACAACTTGGCAGAAAGAGTCAGCCACAGAGTCATCTGACCACAGCCAGAAGAATTTCTTCAGGGGAGCTGCAGACAAACAAAAGAGATCGATTGTTGCAGGCGTCTCAAACTGATAGCCCTCTTACATCAAGCTCAGGGGAATCTCTTTCAAAGATGGAGAAGCACAAGCTTGTGAAACAAGGTTCGAAAAAGAATGAATCAGTGGTGAAGACCAGATCTAGGAATAACAAAGAGGTGCATTTTACTCTAACACTCACACCTGAAGCTGTTCTGCTGCAGCGGAGAAACAGCGAGAGATACCATCGTTCAGCTGCCAGAAATACTGCAGGTGGTCTCGGTGCTTCTGGAAGCACCACTGATTCTAGAAGACGGAGGCAGCAGTCAGTACCTCAGAGGAACAGCAGAGCAGCCGGTAAGAACAATTCTGATGCTCCACTGGGAGACATAAGCTCAATTGTAAAAATCTCCCTCCTTAATGAGAAACACAAGTATGACGATGTTGAGTATGAGGACGAGGAGGACTTGGGCGTGGATGAGCAGGTGGTGCTGAAATGCACCGAATGGCTGCGTGGGTTGGAGAACACACCCGTAACGGTGGCAAAGAGCTTAAACAGGACAATGAGCAGTTTGAAAAGTTTCTAAAGGGGAATATAAATAATGGTCTTCAAATCTATAAATCATCTCTGTGTCGGTAAATGTCTGTTAGATGTTTGATATTTTTTTTACTTTTTGCACGTATATAACTTCTATTTAATTTACTGGATGCAAAATTTTATGTCGGTTTGAAATTAACATCCTGTGGCAGAGGTCAGCAACCTGTACAATCCAAGAGATATTTTTGCTTTCAAACAATAGAATAGTGAAAACATTTGTACAGCCGCAGTAGACATTAAAGTATCAAATTATAAAAATTAGTATTTGACAGTAACAAGAAGGAATTAATTTACATGAACTGTTGTTGTCTCTTCATGTAAAAGTCTCATATCTCTAATAAAAACATGGATTTATTTTGCTAAAGCTCTAAGGACCCTAAGAGAAGGCAATGGTTGCTTACCTCTGTTATATTGGTTGCCTGGAAACTGAACTAAAATGAAGTTATGACTTTAAAATTGTAGCAGGTTCAGAAATATGACATTATGACTAGAAAAGGACTATTCCTTGGAAACCAAATACTTTCCTGTAAATACTTGATACCTTCTGTGTATATGACCCAGTTACCACTACAAGCCACAGTTCTCAGAAAAAAAATTATGTACAGTGTAGTTTGTGATTTATCAGGTCATTTTTTTCTATTTGTTTTGTTATTTTGTTGTAAAGTACTATGTAAACAAAATAAAATCTATCCTTCAGAACAATATGCCTTTGGTGTCAACATACAAGGCAGCTGTTAGTTTGAGTATCTTTTTTCTTTGCTTTTTATTGAGATACTCTCAATCAAATTCAACTTCAAATACCTTTAGTTGTTTTCTCCCCGTGACGTTTACCAATGCCAGCTGATCAAGTTGATTCATGTACCTCTTGTGATATTACTGACCTAAATATACACAATGGAAAAATAAAAAATTCACCTTAAAAACATTGCATTTTGTAAATTTCATTCTCCGTTGCTCCTCTTCATTTTTTCTGATAATGTAAATTAAAAAAGAAAAAAGACTGAATGCAAGTTCAAACATAAGTGTTAGGGTCAACAAATCTCTCAAAGGGGTGCTGTTGTGGCGCAGGGGTTGAGCACAACCCCTGCGCCTTAGTCCTTGATGTGGCTGTCGCAGGCTTGATTCCTGGCCTGGAGGTCTTTACTGCATGTCTTCCCCCTTCTCTCATTACCTACTTTCCTGTCAATTCACTATCAAATAAGGGCCACTAGAGACAATGAAACCTTAAAAAATGCTCTCAAAGCATTTGAGTGGAGGAGTGAAGGCAAAAAAAAAATATGTCTGGATTTTGTACAGCTTGCATTAAAAAGTCAAGTGAAGTTATTTATTAAATATGTGTAAATCAATACAGTATAAATATGACAGGTTTCAAGCAGAAATTTCAGACAAGGCAAAGATAAAAAGATAATTATTTTAACTATTTAAAGTTTAAATAAATTACAACTGTTATGCTGCTCCCTTTTCTCCTTACTCCAGAATTGGCAATTAGGAATTTCAAAATACAGACCTCAATATTTCATGGACTAGAATCTTGAAAAAGTAGGTTCCACATGATAAATAAATCTAGGAAGTCATGAAAATGCAGTGATGTTGGCTTTTCAAATTAAAGTTTCAGAATAAACATGAAAATAAACGTGTCCATACTTAATTGAATACATTGTAGATATATTCACAAATAGAGCTGCGCCAATTATGAAAATTGGATTGTCATCCTTCCAAAATAAAGCTTAGACAAACCTTTAAAAAATAAGAGGTTTCAGTATTTCATTGTTTAGATTATTCAAAACGAAGGTCACAAAGTTAATTGAGCCAGTGACGAAAAGGAGATTAAATAAAATCACACAATCTCTTCCACATAAAAGTTACCAAAGAACTTCAACCAGGCACGAAAAGATATTCTATGTACCTTTAAAAAAAAGCCTACAAATGTTTTTCAGTCATTTTCCAGATAAGTTCCAGCTGAAAATAGGTTTAAGTCATCCAAACAGATCCAAACAACCCAGACAAAAAAAAAAAAATTCATTATGCTTTTGGGCATAATGAATGTTCATCAATTTTTTTAGGAATGTTTCTAGTATTTTAATTTTTACTAAAACCTGTGAACATAAAATGTTTTTTCAAGACAGCGGAAGTTATTCAATTACAATCATATTCTGATTCAAACTTTCTCAATAGGTTTCCCTGAGTATATATGCAAATAATACCGTTTTAAATCTGTTCTGTGTGAATTCAAGTTTTTGTGGGACCTCAAAGCCAGAAGCAAGCTCTAAGAAGCCAATACAGTTTGTTTGTGCCTTAGGCCGGCCATGTGTTTCACTAAAATCTGCAAATAGCTCATCACATGGATTTACTATTATTTTAAAGAACTTTATGCTGTTTTCATATTCAAAAGGAAAGCAGGGTAAGTGTGGATTATGCCCATATTTTCTTCTTTGCTGTAATCAATCCCTGTAATCAGCTTTGTGAGGAATTAGATGCTGGCTTGCCTCTTGTCAGACACTCCCTCCTTCCCCTGTCAGGTGTGCTAAGCATCAGCTTATCAGCCACAGAGTCATATGTTACAACATGTGTGTTTGGTGTGAGTGCGTCACTCAGTGGCATACCACGTGAGCTGTTAAACAAATTTATTTATTTTTTCCTTTCAAAATTTTTAACAACTAAAGACAAAAGAAAGAAATATATTATAGAATAAACTTAAAACAATTTTCTCTATCTGGTAAAAATCCCAATAAATATAAACGAACAGATAGGTTGGCATCACTTCCATCGGTTGATTCGCAGCAGCTGCACATAAGCCAGCGCCATGCAGACAGCAATGATTCCCAGCAGAGCCACCTCATTCTTCCAGAATCCCCACACAGAGTAGTCAATGTCCATACTTTTCAGAAATACCTCTCCTGGGACTCTACAGCACAGGGAAGAGAATATTGTTTTCACTGAGAGGACATTACTGTGGGTTGCAATCGAACCATTGCATTCACACTCACATGGTATTGTTGCTGTAGAAAATCTGGCCTTTCATCTCGTTGATGTATACAGCCTAGGAAAGAAAAAAATGGTCGGGCTGAATTATTACATTATCCCTTAAACACCTTTTGTTTGTTTAGTATCTTTATTGCATACGGTTAAAGTGTGATTTTTCACATTTAGACATTATAACCACAAGCTTCAAAGTATTTTGTAGTTACTTAGTGATATAGACCTACACAAAGTAATGCATCATTGTAAAGTGACAAGAAATGGATGCATTTTTTTAGCATTATGAACAAATTAAATCTGTAAATTGCTGTATGCATCTGTCCTCGGCCCCCATGCCCATTTAGGAAGTCACCTGATTAGTAAGTCGAGTGTGTCTGTGCACATTTCACTCTCAGTCTCTGTTTAACTATAGACTGCCTGAAGTCTTGCAGCAAGTTTATGGACATCAGTGGTTCGGTGGGGAAAGTAGCTGTTCTGTAACCGGAAAGTTGTGGTTTCGATTCCAGCTTTCTCCCGTCATGTCACTGTGACCTTGGGCAAGACACTTAACTCTAAAATATCCACAGATCTCTGTATAGGAATGTGTGTGTTTATGAGAGTGACTGGGTGAATGGAGCTCTACGATAGAGCGTTGAGTTGTCAATGTAAGTAGAAAAGTGGTCAGTCTTGCAAAGAAGAATGCTCTTTGTTCACAACATGTGAACAAGAAAAGAGCCTCTCCACACTGGTAAGGCTAATCATCTGGCACCTTCATCCTGAACAATCTCCACTTTAAAACATGGTGGTGGCAGCTTTACACATCATATTCATTTGATTAAAAGTCTAGATATATATCAAATTGATAATTTAGGGTAAGATTGGAAATTTTTGTTTTGACATACTGAATGTCAGTATTTAAACTGGTAGAGATTCACTCTAAATGGTGTACTTGCAGGAAAAGGTGATTCCACTAAGTATTGACTCGGTGGGGTGTTGCTATGCACCCCACCGAGTATGCAGGGCACACTTTTCAGATTTTCTATTTGTAAAAACAGTTTGAAACAATATGTTTTTCTTATGTGTCACAGCTATGCATTATTTGGTGCTAGTCTAATATATTAAATCAATAAAATACACCAAAGTCTGTAGCTGTAACAAGTGAAAAATGTCAAGGAGTAGGAATACTTTTGAAAAACACTATATCTTACATTTAGCCCATAATTGAAAATACTGATCCATTTCAACCAAGACAACCAACTCAGCATGGAGTTGAGATTGACGAGAAAACCACCAAAAACCTACAACAGAAAAAGGACGAGATAAGATCAGGAGTGCCAAAGAAGAAAAATAAATCGTACAATGTTCAGAAATCAATGTTAATAGATATCTTGAACATTTCTGTGCATATGTCCTGGAATCATACCATCATGAAGACAAACGGGAGGGCAATCAGGATGTTAGCCATTGCGAATGTAGATACGGAGGCGGAGACCAGGAAAGCAAGGCTGACTCCTGCCAAGCTGACCAGAGACAGGGTCAGGGAAAAGCAGAGGAAGGCCACAAAATCTGTCTTCAGTGCTGAAAACAGACAAGAGCAGGTAAACATGCACGTTCTGCTACAAACCAAACAGAATTTTAGAAATGACAGTAAAACGTGATTAGATCCATTTATTGTAAAGAACTATAACTAAGCATCTTATCTCATATAAAAAAAACTTTTATCTTACCCTGGTTCAAAATGAACAGTTAATTGCATTTTTGTGTAGCCATATGAAATGTACGGGTGACTCTGTGATAGAGTCCAGATGAAGTCATACAAAATGAAATGTGCAAAGTGATTGCAGTCACGGAGGGACATGTGCTTACATCACTCTCCTTGTGTTAATGGGGGTTACATTGACAGAAAGGTGCCTGCAACAAACAGGTCCATGTCTATTCTGCCCAACACAATGTGAGAAGTTTAGATGCAGTGAAAATATTTTAAGACATTCAAGATTGTCCAGCAGATCCTGGAGCATGTCCCTCTGGGGACTATTTCAGAGTTCCCACCAGTGCAGAGATGAATGTTTTGAAAGCAGGGTGTGAGGTGATCAGAGGATTTTAACACACCAGCATCTAAAAGGGAAGATAACAAAGAATCCACTTCTCTGCTAGACAGACACTTAAAGGACAAACTGAAATTCTCCAGGCACAGCAGGAAGAGTCAACAGATGACTGGTGAAATGTAAATTCTCCAATGATCTCTTCTTCTATTCTTTTAGTCAACTGGAAAATCATTTTGTTTGAAGAAAAGAAGACAAACACTGCTAAAAGTTTTGAACAGGAAGGATCTACAGTAAAACACCGAGTATTTTGATCATTTATTTTATAAAAGGTGTTTTATAAAATAAACATAAATGATAAAACAACAACACAAAACATTTGCACTGGTAAAACGTTTTGCTATGACTGTCAATCCATATAAATGAAGATTTAAATATAGAATAAAACAACTACATTTAAAAACCGTAAACATTTAATTTAAAACTCAAAGTTTCAAATTTGAGCCTTTGTCTATTCTTAACAACTTGCAGAAGTAGATTTTTAACATGAATTCTTACTCTCTAAATATTTACAATTTCAAGAATGTGAACAGATTAATAACTGGTGTATGTACTCTGTGTGTATACTTGCTCAGATGTGAGTACATTACCCATCATGTAGTAGGCAATGGCTGAAAACACCAAGATGGGGATGATGCGGTTGGGGATGAGATCAGCAAAGATCTTGGACAAGAAGTAGACAGAGGTTCTGTAATATCCACTGGAGTTCTCATGACTGTAGATTAAAAATAATAAAAATAAATATGAAATAAAATAAAGAGTTTCAATTAAAATTACCTAAATACTATTTTTATGACATCTTTTCCAGATCTTTTGTAAACTAAAGTGTGAGTTTGTTTATATTTTTAGTTTGCTTTGTAAATGAATGAAAATGTTAACGATAATAAAATTGTTTGTAGATGTGGTAACTAGACTGCATATTTTACAAAACTATTTATTGAATTAATGGAATCTTCATTCTTAGCATTATAAACAAATGTCTCAAGAAAAAAAATAAAAAAAGAATAACTAAACATGACATGAAACCTTCATACTCAGTAGGAAAAGGGGCAGGAAGAAGCCAATGCTCATCAAATCCTGCCCCCATGTGACTCACCCAGCATACACACATTATATATTTCAGACTAGAATATTACAGACACACCACTGTTGCCCTAGAGGATATTACTGGGCAGCATCAGATAATTGTTTGGCAAAAAATAAATAAATAAATAAAAAAGCTACAAATAATACCCCAAAGCATTATTAAGACATAGCAGCTTTATTTTGAAGAACGTGGGAAACCAGAATGGGAAGAAAATGATACCCTGATCTCAATGTCCTGAAATAATTCACATTAAACATTTTATTGCTGCTTACATGAAGATTGCCCTTTCGTTGATAAAGAGTTCGACAGCAGAAAGATTCCCAAAAACCATGTTTATGATGAGGAAGAAGAAAGCGCCACTCCTGATTAACGAGACAGATGAAAAACAATTTAACATTGACACATCATTTCAACATGATGGTTTGTTATTTATTCAGTTAAATGTTTAATTTTCTACTTTGTGTTCAAAATCTTTAAACTATGCAATTTTACTTTATAAACCTGTGAGGCATCATCTCAACTTTATTATTTCCTGTTTATTTATTTACTACTCATGGCCAAAACATGCATGAAATTTACTTCATAGTCACAATAAAATTAATTTAAAAAAAAAAACCCTGCCATGTTTATTTTCATAACATGCGAGTTAAAATGGATCCTTCAGAAGTGCAGGTTGCACATTGTTTATACCTGTTCTGCAAACCCTCTGGCAGAGTCAGAGGCATCTGGAAGTAAATAAGTCCCACCAGAATGGCAAAAAAGATATTGAGAACCAGCTGGGCGTATGAGGTCTGCGGATTCCTGAGAAGGTTCAGCACTGTTCTTCCACACACCACACGCATCTGTCTCACACACACAACAGCGTTATCTTTTTATGACCATGACTGGGTTCAATCAGCAGATAAGCAAGCACAATCACATAACAGGTGAATGACGTGTCATAACTTTGTTTTCATAACATCTTAATTGATTGGAACAGAACATCTGTCAGTCATTAAACTGAGGTTGAGGGTCTTTTGAATAATAAAAAAAAGAAGACAGATGCTGTTGTGCATTGTTGCATTTCTCAAACACAGATCTGCTGACCTGATAGAGGAAGGATGTGTTGTAGTTGGCTGCCTCTTCTTTTCTGTTGTCCGTATCAGTAATGCTCTGGTTCACCTGGTCCAGTTCCTGCATTATGTTCTGGTACATGCCAGATTCACGATACTCCATCGCTAACCAGTTCTTGCCCTCCTCTTAGAAATTAAAGACATGAGTGCTAAGTTAAAGACAAATACTGTATATACATACATCCTTTAATTTACTAGGAATGTTTTATTTAGAGTCAATTTCTCTTTTGCAACAGAGTCCTCGTAAGAAAGACCTGTTATAAACATCCAGAGCGCACACACAATGGAAAAATACAACACCAGTGCTAAATACAATGGTGAGCTGTCAATAAGATAGAAGACATACAGAAAATATTAAAAATTATACATGTCCAAAAAAACTTGTTTAGTGAGGCAATAAGGAGCAGAGACACAGTCCTATTAAAACTACTTTTTTAGATTGTTTTAAAATGTGTTTAAAGAGAGTAGGGAGTGCTTGCTATAACAGTAAAACACAATTTTCAGGAGAAAATAATCAATTCATCCATCCATCCATCCATCCATTTTCTGTCCACTCTTGTCCCTAGTGGGATCAGAAGGGGTTCTGGTGCCTATCTCCAGTGAACGTTTCGGGCGAGACACCCTGGACAGGTCGCCAGTCTGTCACAGAGACAAACAGGACAAACAACCATGCACACACACCTACGGAGAATTTAGAGAGACCAATTAACCTGACAGTCATGTTTTTGGACTGTAGGAGGAAGTCCAAGTACCGAGTACCTGGAGAGAACACACATATACACAGGGAGAACATGCAAACTCTATGCAGAAAAACCCCGGGACGGGAATCAAACCCAGCACCTTCTTGCTGCAAGGCAACAGCACTATCAATGCTTTACTGCGTACAATTGCATTTAAAAAAATAATATACTGTGGTATTTTTTGTATATTTTATCATCATCTTATTAGTGATCAGTCACTAGATTTTAGAGCATTTTGCTCAATAAATTCACTGCAAGGTCAACACAAATAAGACTACTCATCCTTTGAAACTGACTGAAAATACATGAACCTCCATTATGCTCCTGTCTTAATCACACCCAGTTTAACAATAAAGTTTAATATGAAGTTCAGCTCACTTTACCTGCAGTTTTTGGATAGCAAAATATCAGTAATCTTTAGCAGATTAGCAGACAATTATCTATTTAAAAAGATGATGGCATTTGATTATACATACACAACCTACAGAAAAATTAGGTTTATTTAGCCTGCCGCTGTATTTTCTTTATTGTTGATGTTTTATTTCCAAAATATCTGGTCAATTTTTAACATTTACATAGTGAATGGACAGGAAAGTGGGTAATGAGAGAGGGGACAAAGGTCATCAGACCGGGACTTGAACCTGTGACAGCCACATCGAGGACTAAGGAATCCATATGTGGAACGCACCCCAACTTTTAACATTTTATAACACAAAAACACAGTGGGGCAACTGGTGGTTTAAAATACAGTAATTAGTTTGACTTGTCTGTTTCCTTTCTCAAAATTAGATACGCTTTGAGCATAATATGATTTTGATGTTTTGAATAAATTACCTGCAGTCTGTGGTTGCTTTCTGGATGTTGCCTCTCCGTTTGTGATATCCATGAAGAAATCAGCAGGGTTGTTAAAAGGCTCAATTTGATACCCTGTCCAAAAACAAGCCAGGTTTTTTAAATGACACGATATTCTTGTACAACTTTGTTTTTGTTTTTTTTTTGCGCAGCTTGTTTGTGTTTATGTTACATACCGATGTCTGTAAAATATTCCAGAGCATGGTCTGCTGCCCCTGCGTACACAATCTCTCCTTTATGCATCAGAGTGAGGTGGTCAAACTGCTTGAAGATGGAGTAGCGTGGTTGGTGGATGGAGAAGATTACAGTTTTACCTCTTCTGGACAGTCTGGACACATGTTGAAGTGTTACCACAAAATCAAAACAGGAGACATATGGGCATTTGCTTTGTAGCAGGTACAAATAGCAGAAAATGGTTTCTGCTATTTGTAGCATCTAGCATAATGCTACATACTGCTTCAGTGTCTCATTGGCTTTATAGCATGTGAGGATGCATTGTCAATGGGTTGATGTGTTATAACTTGGTCATACTTGGACAGCAGACCAATGATGCAGTTTGCAGTGTTGGAATCCAGTCCTGTTGTTGGCTCGTCCAGAAACAACAGAGAGGGAGAAGTTATGAGCTCCATCCCGATGCTGCACCTTTTCCTCTCCCCTCCTGATACGCCTCGCAGAAACTCAGTTCCTATCTGTGTTCATATGTACAAACACACACATGCACGCACTCAAAAACTGTCAGCAGATAAGGAGCAACATAAAATGTTTCTATGATCTTTATTTTTTTATTTTTATTTTTTTTGTCAAACTTTAACTTTTTGGATTTTATGTGTTGGACTAACAAAGTATAACAAAATTATGCAAAGGATGAAAAGTGAACTGTATTTTAAAAGTAAGCATTAGAAAATGAAGTTATAATTGTATTCAGACCATCTGAATACAAACATATTATACTCACACCACCTGCTGAAGCTGCAGGTGGTGTGAGTTTCTCAGCCAGTGCACATCTCAAAAAATAAAAGGTCAACGGGAGAGACAATTAACGCACAAATTTAGAACTGGATTCAACTTCTCCACAGAAATTCTCAAAAATTCTCAAACTGAATAAAATGGTTTGGTCATTAGCAGGACCTTTTTCCAGAGTTTGACCATTTGCTGAAAAGGTAATTTGGCCATTTAATTTGGATCGATATTTTTTCAACAAAAGAGTTTTAACATTTTCAGATAAGATCCATAGCACCCATAGAGGTGCTTCGCAAAGCAATACAAATTGTGTTGTTTTTACCTTAACAATTTTAGCATGATTCCATTGTATTGGAAAATGAATAAAGGTCACTGACACTCATTATATGTACTGATTGCACTGACAAAAGACCTGTTTAGAGTACTGTTACTAGATAGCTAAACAACGTTGGCAAGAGCTGTATTCTGGTTTCATAGCCTCATTAAAAATCATAAATCATAAAGCAAAGAAAGATAAGAATTTGTTAAATGCAAAACACCTGGGTTAGGAATGACCTAAGAACATTGTTTATCCACTCATAAAGATATGGGACTTCTGGCAGTTTGTTACAGCACTCTGCATAAATTATTTCGTTCCTATAAAAGCCTTCAGGGAGCAATAAGATGTTGAAGTATTATTTCAAATGTTATTTTAAAGTGAGCTATATGCTGCAAAATCTACTTGTGCATAAAGCTCTGTACCTTAGTGTCGGCACAGTCCACAAGGCCCAGGTCTTGCAGGATGGAATTCACTCTTTCCTGTTTATCAGCAGAGGAGTAATATTTTGGGTTGAGACGCAGGTTGGCACTGAAGAGAAGGTTCTCCCTCACACTTAGAGTGCCCATCACGATGTCATCCTAAGACAAAATCAAAAAGATAACGTAGGAAAACAAACATTATTAGGTAGGGAACTTTGCATGTGTGTTTTCCTACCTGTACCACATAAGCAGAGCTGAGCCTGAGTTCAGAAGTGACAGGTTTGCCGTTCACTTGGACTGTTCCTTGGCGCAGTCCAGCTGGATCTTTTCTACCTGCTATGACATCTAGAAGTCTGTGCACAGAACATAAAACTTATTTTTATAATTCATGCACAACTGAATTGCATTTGTAACAATGTACTTGAATGAAAACTTCTTACGATGTTTTACCACTTCCTGTGGCTCCCATGATAGCATTCATCCCTGGTCTCATGATGCCACTACAAAACATATGCAAGTTCTACTTTTTTAAGGTACACTTTATTAATTAATATTACTACAATTTCACAGACAACAACCAAAAAATATTTGGTGATATCACATTTAATACATATATATATGCATGTGATATTTACATGAATGTAACCCAACCACTTTTACCCCTTCCCTGAAAATATTTAACACATCAAGCAAATAGAAATATAATATAATATATTTTTAACTCTTTTTTTTTTATGTGACATGATTATCTACAGTATGTTTAAATATTAGATAGTTTTGTGATGAGTTCTACTTCTTTTGTTTGTTTAAAAAAACATTTCAGGTCAATGAATCAATAAAAATGAGCAACATAGACCTTTTGTTATTTATTTTACAGATAGGAATTAAAAGAGCACTATAATCAACAATGTCTAAATGTTATGTAGCATTGTAATATAATATAATATAATATAATATAATATAATATAATATAATATAATATAATATAATATAATATAATATAATATAATATAATATAATAGCTGTTGCCGTGCAGCAAGAAGGTTCTGGGTTCGATTCCCGGCCCCGGTCTTTCTGCATGGAGTTTGCATGTTCTCCCTGTGCATGCGTGGGTTTTCTCCGGGTACTCCGGTTTCCTCCCACAGTCCAAAAAACATGACTGTCAGGTTAATTGGTCTGTCTAAATTGCCCCTAGGTGTGTGTGTGTGTGTGTGCGCATGGTTGTGTGTCTGTGTTGCCCTGCGACAGACTGGCGACCTGTCCAGGATGTACCCCGCCTCTCGCCCGGAACGTTAGCTGGAGATAGGCACCAGCACCCCTCCCGACCCCACTGAGGGACAAGGGTGTTCAGAAAATGGATGGATGGATGGATAATATAATATAATTTTCCTCTGCCTCTCGCCTGTTGACAAGATGTAGGCACCAGCACCCGCCTAACCCAATGGGATAAGGCTGTAAGAAAATGGATGGACGGATGGATAGTATAATTTTCATTAATTTTCCTACGTGCTCTGAATCTGCTTTAGATTTGGGTGGAATGGAAACCTGACTGACAGCAATGAATGTTCCTGGATTTAACCTGGATCTAATTTTTATATACAGGGCCTAAGGATGATATTTGTTATGATTTAAAACTAGATAAAATAAACAAGATGTACAGTAAAACCACCAAGCAAGCAGTAACAAATAGAAACAAAATATATAGAAATGTAAAAACAAGGATAAATTCAAATACATGAGTGATGGTGCCATGAGCTTGTAAATTAACGTTCTCAAATGTTAAGAATCTGGTCTTACCTTACATCTTTGAGAATTTGTTTTTCAGGACCTATCTTTCGGCAGAACTTCTTCTCTTGAACACAGTAATGCAGCCTGGTGAAAGCAACAGTCGGCCCGGGTTCCTGGAAGCAAGCTTCAATATAAGAATCTGCCTGCTCGCCCTTGGTCATCTTCACACTCTGCAAACTTAGACAAATATGAAGGAAAAGTGCAAAAAGTAGACTTAGGTTTGAAAAAGCAGCTGAAGAACAGTCTGATGCAGAAACTCATGCAGGATGACAAAAAGACAGTTGAAGCAGTTTGATAAAAAGTGTTACTCAGGGAGACTTTTGGACTTCCCATGTCTTCAGCCTATATATCTGAGGACAAACAGGGACATGGCATTGAACTTTCCCCTCTGCCTCTCAACAGTAATTATGCATAGAAGGCAATAAAGGCTGTTAGTTAAACAGTTAATGATTACAACTCAGTGACTGTACCTGGCTGACTGCAGCTTAACTAGAAAAGCCTTTCTAATACACTAAGATATTTAGTGTGTTAACACTAAGAAACAAAACTGGATTTGGTTGAAAAAAAACCCAGCATGTTTGGACAGAAGATAATGATCTGTGGCCAAAAATCTCTTGTATTATAATGTATTGTAAAGGTATGTGCAATCTTTTAAGGTTTTTTATATGGACATTTGATTTATGATGATTTAAAACATTTGTGTTTCATTGGGATTTTTTGTGATAGAAAAACCTAATGTACACGTGAAGTGATAAGGATAATCATAACTTTCAAAATGTTTTAAAAAAGGAAAATTCCTCCCCCATTATGCCCTAATTAATTACAATTTTGAACAAATGTTGGTGATTTTTCAAAAATATTTTCATAATGGATATTTAACAAGTCATATAAGAAATGACTTATTCATGTATCTCCAATTATAATAAATTTTTTATACATTGATATAAACTATATTTTTTTATTTATGAAATATTGTCTCTCCAATTAAGCATTAGTAAAATGAGTAATTGAATTAACTCTTGTGAAACAGTTGGTTGGCAAAATTTTTTTTGAGGTGAAATATTTAAACAGATGTTTTATTTTTTATTTATTTATCATTTCCTTTATTTAACCAGGTAAACCCAGGTGAAAGTAGTTTTAAATTCTTGGGGGTACTATGACAAAAGTAATTAGATATCCATTTTCTATACACC